AGCGCGATGCTGGGCGCGGGCTGTGGGTAGCGAGGGGGCTGTACGCAGCACGTAAAGGCTGGCTGGTGGTTTGCAAGCGGGGAGAAGGGTTTTTTTAGGGGGGGGAGGATAAGCAAGGGTGAAAAGCCCTGACGGGCTGAAAAACTGAAGGCACTGAAAGATTTAGTGGGGAGGAAACACCGTCATGGACTGCGCCCATCACCGGCTCACTTTAATAACACATCCAGATCTGGCTCCGCGTCTGAGCAGTCCCTGGCACGGTGGAGCCCAGACTCCTTTCCTTGGGACTGAAGACATTTTTATTCTCTGCACCACGAGGAATCCCAAGGTGGAAACGCGATCCTTCGCGCAAGGCTGTATTAAACCAAGCGGTTTTTGCAGCCCTCTCATTTCCCTCCAGGGATTTTGCTTCCCGGAGAACCGTCACCTTTGGATAGCGCTAATTGCAGAGCACCCCTGGGATCATTAGAATACTAATTATAATAATTTTTTAATAACCAAGATCAAGCCTATGCAGATGGAGCTGGATATGCAGGCGTAGATATGCAGTCTATGCAATCAGGCATGGCATTTTTTTCCCGGCTGTAAAGCAATGCAGAATATTAGTGAAATTATATACAAAGGTGATAGAAAATGGAAAAAGCAATCTGCTGAGAGAAATAAAGATCTTACTGCTTTATGCTAGCAAGAATAATTTTGGCCTGGGCTAAAACGGGCCAATGCAGCTCTGTGGTATAAAGCACTGGGAAGGACGGGTGCACAAATCACCTGGGCCTATTTGAAAAACTTTCCCCGGGGCGAGTTCAAAATGCCAGATTTTGGCTTTTCAGGCTAAGTTTGGCGACTGATTTCATTATCCTGGAGGGCAGGATCAGTCCCTGCGGTGGAGGCCGTGAACTTGCTCCAGGCATTGCCTGCGATGGGGTTACAGCGAATTCCCGACTTAATGAGGCATGAAAAGGACCCGCTGCAAAGTCCCCTTTCAGGAGACTTCCCTGCCAGCGCCAGAAAACCTTTTGAAATCTGTCCCAGGGTCAGCAGCTCGCCTCTCCCCCCTTCCCCGGGCAGAGGGGAGCGGGGACGGAGGGCGGCACGGGAGCCGGAGCGCATCCAGCCCGCGGCCGCTTGCTGCCTCCGGGAAGTCTCCGGGATGGGAATGGAGGGCCAGGTCCTGGTTTGCCGTCCCCACCCTCTGCGACTTTGCTTTTTGCCAAAAAAGCAGCGGGGTTTTTTCTTTCGCTGCGGCACCGAGGAGGCTGATGTGGTTGGGAGGAAATCGGGGCGAGGGGCTGCGGGCGTTTCCGATGGGTGCTTTGTGTTTTGTATTGACTGAGTCGAAACCGGAGTTCCCTGAACAGGCACCGTTTGAACCCAGCAGCAGCATCTGGGAAGATCAAAGCCTGGAGCAGACGCTCGGTTGGAAAATATCTTCTCTACTGCTGGTGAGGGAGAGATTGTGAACCAGATCTTAAGCTTTCCCGCAGGGATGCTAAGAGATTTGCCCTGTAGCATCCCCGGGGCCGGCATTTCCAGTGACTCATCGGCATTTGTCACAACCCTCTGCCCTACAGGCAGCCCCTGACCTTCCCCACGCACCTAAGGACAAGGTGGGGGCTCCCCATGGGGCAGCGGGTGGTGGGGGGAGCCCAGCATCTCTGCAGTCCCCGGATGGGACCTCAGGATGGAGGGATGGGACCTCAGGGTGCAGGTATGGGGCTGTAGGATGAAGGGATGGGACCGCAGGATGGAAGGATGGGGCTGTAAATGGAGAGTTGGGGTCGTAGGACAGAGGGATGTGACCTCAGGATGGAGGGATGGGGCTGTAGGATGAAGGGATGGGACCGCGGGATGGAGGGATGGGGCTGTAGATGGAGGGATGGGGTCATAGGACGGAGGGATGGGACCTCAGGATGGAGGGACAGGGCTGCAGGATGGAGGCATGGGACCTCAGTGCGCAGGTATGGGGCTGTAGGATGGAGGAATGGGGCTGTAGATGGAGGGATAGGGTCGTAGGACAGAGGGATGGGACCTCAGGATGGAGGTAAGGGACCGCAGGACGCATCCACGTTTTGCACAGTTCCCTACATCCCCCATTTTGCAAGTGGTTGCATTTCTCACCTCGGCTCCGCCGGCGAGGAAAGGTTGGCCCAGGGCTTTGTTCCCCTCCGCGAGTTTCAAACCACCTTCTGCTCTCCTGCCTAATTTAATTGTCACCCGTCAGTCTGGGATTTGGGATAAAACCCACAGAATCAGGGGATGCAAGATCGAGTTCAAACACACAACTGTTTTTCACCCCACAAGTCCCCAGACAGCATATTTTAAATAATAAATAAAGCCACGATAATGATAAAAATACCTCCAACGTGGGCACTGTATCACCCTTATTAATAATACAGCTCCTTCATTGAAAATTGTACTTTATTACAGAATAAAAATGCATATGTTGCATAGAACAGCCGTGGTATAATATACAACACATTATATATGCCCGTGAATTTTTGTAAAGCAGTAAAACTTGATGTGGTGGCTAGTTGCCCCAAATCTAAGTCTTCATTAAGCCAGGATTAATTATTTTTCTCCCCCCCCTCCACTCCTGTACTTGTCTTTGTCCCTGTAACAATAACAGCAAATTTATTTTTTTGTAAAGAGACATCCTATATTCCGCTCTTTCCATATTTATTTCCCTCAGTTTTGGGGGAAAGAGGCGAAATCCTTGGAAACAGATAAGGCTTTATCGGGTGTTTCCCAAAGGAAATCGGACCTGATCCTGCTGCCTCCGTGCTCTCCTGGTGATGGAGGAACCTGGGGTCGGCAGGCAGAGAGGGGCTCCCCAAACCTGGTTACCCCAAATCCAACCGGGCGTTTCGAATGGGGAAACCATCTTGCTCCCAGTAGCTGTAAAATT